CCCCAACTTGTTAGTGCATAAGGAGTATGGACTAAGTAGTTTACAGTTTACACCAACTATTACACAAAAACTCACTTTGGCTTTATTAATAAATTCAAACAATTAGATCCCAGTAACCACTTGTACACATAGCGGCTAACAATGCTTTGCAATTTGAAATTTCTGGAAGTTACCAAGGCAACTTATCCCACCACCAGCCCAACTACCAAGTCATTTTTATTGAATTTTCCTTAGCTAAACTATTGGCTTTAAGCCGACCACCACGTCTCAAATCTCATAGCTTCAATCCTAGCCTGTCATTACCGTCTTTTCACCTAGCCGTTCTTTGGCCTCATTTTGGCTTGATAAGATATTAGCCCAAAGGTAACCCACGACGAAAAGCAATGGATTGGCTTAACTGAAGAGAAATCCCACATTGCTCTCTTAATTGGACAAATTTGGCTTTAAACACAAATCCATTAACTCAAAATCTTTCCAATGCCTCAGTAATAAATTTTCTCTATTGTTAGATAGAGTGTGATACCAACCTACTTGACTTCACTGCCCCCAACTATCATTATCATATTGTCAACCCAACATACCCTCTGTGTCATGGCTAGCTATGCAAGCCCTGTCTACCAAAAGGGTTTCATGCCATGCCTTAGGGCGTGGGAGGCTTGGCATGCCATCCATTATGGTGGCCGACTAACATCGAAACCGCTGACACTCCATGTCCCAAAGCGAAGGGACATAAGGTTTGAGATACTTGCCATTGATCAATCGATCATGAAACACACCATCTAGATCTTTTAACAGGTAAGCTCCATTGGACCGGGTGGCATGGACTATGAAGGGTCCACGCTAGTTGGGAGACCACTTGCCAAACATGCGATCCTTATCCCCAATGGGTAAGTGTAGTTTCCATACTAGCTCTCCTTCTTCAAAGGACTTGTGTCTGAATCTCTTATTGTAAGAACAAGCCACCTTATCCTTTTGCACCCTTATTTTATCGAGTGCTTTGAGTTGAAACTCATCAAGATCACACAATTCCAACATCATGGACACATAGTACTCTGAGGGTGTTAGCTCATATACCTCAATGACTTTACTATTATTTTGAGTGGCAGGAAGGCCTCATGGCCATATGTCAGAGAGAAAGGGGTCCCCTTTATACTACTACGTGGTGACATTTGATAAGCCCATAAGGCTTCCGATAAGACTTCATGCCATTTTCTCGGGTTATGTTCAATCATCTAGATAGTATAACCTTTAATACCTTATTGGATGCTTCAGCTTGACCATTAGCTTGGTCATAGTAGGGAGTGGAGTGTATGATCTTGATGTCGTGTTCCTCGGCAAAAGCCATCACTTCCCCTCCTGTGAACACGGTACCCTGGTCAGCTGTTACGGTGGCTTGCAAGCCAAACCGGTGTATTATATTCTCTTTGATGAACTTGATGATTTTTCTTTGATTAACCACTGTCATTCGCTTAGCCTCCACCCACTTGGTGAAGTAATCAGTTGTCAGGATGATAAAAGTGTGTCTATCAGAAGATGGTGGATAGATCTTTCCAATCAATTCCATGGCCCATCCAAAGAAAGGTCTAGTCTTGATGATAGACTTCAAGTCGATGGTAGGGGCTCTTTGCACCGGGCCATGTCGTTGACAAGCCTCGCACCCTTTAGAAAAAGCGGCCCAATCTTCTCCAATGGATGGCCAGTAGTACCCATACCGGTGAAGTGCCTATCTCATAAAAGGGCCCGCTTGATGAGCACCACATATCTCTTCATGAACCTCACTCATAGCTTGTAGGCCTCCTTGCTTCCCAAGAACTCAATAGCAAACCGTTTGGTCTTCTTTTGTACAAGACTTCATCCAACAAGACATAGTTCCTTGCTTTGAACTTGATGGCCCTATCCACATCTCATGTTGGATTCTTCAAGTAGGCTATCAGGGGGGTACGTCAGTTACTGGAATCTTCTTTAATTGTAAACACACCTACCCTTTACTTAAGTCTCTCATGCAGTGGGTTAAGTGTCCGCACAAAAATTTGTTCTCCCCCTTCATGAGCAAACTCTCTAAACCCCGAATCTAGTTGTGCTAAGTAGATGGCCTTGACATTATCCTGGCGAGGAACATATTTGATAGAGACGTTGTTAAAGTGGGATATTAATATTTGGACATAATCAAGGTATGTCTCTAGTATGCAATTGATTCATCGAAATTCACCAAGTACTTGGTAGACTAACAATTAAGAGTCCCCTTTGATGCTAACACTTTTGACCTTCAGGTCAACAAGCATCTCCATCGCCACCACTAAAGCCTCATACTCGGCTTGATTGTTAGTGCATGGGAGATCAAGCATAAAGGCAAAGTGCATGGCATGCCCTTATGGGGAAGTGAGGATCACGCCAGCACCCACTCCAGATCGTGTCTTTTATCCATCAAAGTACAAAGTCCAAGGGGCCTCATCCACCATATCTACTTCTACTAGCTTGGCTGACACCTCCACACATGAGTGGTCAGCTAAAAAGTCAGCCAATGCTTGACTCTTTTGAGGCACATATTGCAAATTGAACTCGGATAGGGCAAGTGTCTACTTACCAATCTTCCCATGGATGATTAGTCGGGACAACATGTACTTTATTATATTGGTCTTACATATAAGTTGCCCTTGAACAGACATCAAATAGTACATTAGCTCTATACAAGAAAAATATAAGGCTAAACAAAGCTTCTCTACAGGGGAATACTTTTGTTCTGCCTCATTTAATAGCCTACTTAAGTAGTGCACGAACTGTTCATGGCCAGAGTCACTATCTTGAGCCAACAGACACGCTACAGAGGTGTTAGTGGCTGAAAGATACAACTTCAATGGCCGATGTGGGATTGGAGAGTTTAGTACCGGCAGGGTTGTTAGGTACTTCTTGATGTCATCAAAGGCTTGTTGATGCTCTTGATAACATACGAACTCATCTTCTTGCTTCAGCTTCAACAAAGGAGAGAAGACTTGGGTTCAGTCATCATAGTTCGAGATGAAACGTCGAATGTAGTTAACTTGGCGGAGGAACCTTTGAAGTTCTTTCTTATTACTTGGTGGCATGGCCTCAAAGACGGCCTTGGTTTTGCTCTTATTAACCTCAATGCCATGTTGGCTCACGAGGAACCCTATGAAATCACCTGCAGACACACCAAATACACACTTAAGTGGATTTATCTTCAAGTTATGGCCCCTCATACATAAAAGGCCATGCAAAGATGAGATAAATGTTGACTTGTTACCTTAGACTTGAAAACAATGTCATCCACATAAACCTCAACCAACTCACCAATCAAGTTATGAAAGATAGCATTCATGGGTTGTTGGTAAGTGGCACCAGCATTCTTCAACCCGAAGGGCATAACAAGCCACTCATGGAAACCTGAATGCGGTCTTGTGGATGTCTTCCTCGGCTAAGTGGATCTAATTATTGCCTGAGTAACAATCCATGAAAGAAAACGTTTTATGCCTAGTCACTACATCAAGCTACATATCAGCTACTGGCATGAGGTATTCATCCTTAGGAGTGGCTAAGTTTAAATTTCTAAAATCCAAACATACACGTAGCTTGCCACTCTTCTTTCTAACTGGCACTACATTGGATAATCACTCTACATACCTGGCTGGCCTAATGAATCTAGCTTTCAATAATCTTTCAATTTCCTTTTTAATCTCTACCAAGACATCATAAGCAAACCGTCTAGGAAGTTGTTTAAAGGGTTTGAAACCAACATTAATTGGTAATCTATGCTCTACTAAATTTATATCTAGACCAGGCATCTCATGATAATCCCATGCAAAACAATCCTTAAATTCTTTTAACACATTAATTAACTCATACCTCTCGACTTCGGGGAGCATGGCATTGATGAAAGTAGAACGTGGGTCGTATTCAGTGCCAAGGTTGATCTCCTCCAACACATCACGAGAAGTCATATGCCTCTGGTCTTCTCTAGATATACCCAGTACCTCGCCTTCTTCACAGAAGTCATCTCGGACACACAGTTAGCCATCAACCCGCTTCCTCGCAAGCTAACCTCTGTTCGCATTGATAGATGGCTAACTTCTCCAACAAGGTTGTCACTTCGGCTTTGCGCACCACCTCGTCTCGAAGTGGTCTACTCATCATTGATACTTGTTTCAGCTTTAGGTGGACCACCAAAACAATCATAGATGGTCTCACAATGTCGGAAAGTGGGTCGAGGCATGCCTTACTCAATACCTTAGCACTTGACATCACCACTGTGCACGACCCCCCATCCATACTCCTCACCTTTAGAGGCCCGAAGTCTCCATGATAGAGTGGAGCCTCGACAACATTAGCACCATCTGCAAAGGGCTTGGTGTCTACTTGTACTACCTCCACTATTCCTTCCTCATTCCATAACATCAAATACTTATGGGGTGAGGATGGGACACCCTTATTGGCATGGATACAATCCCTTCCCAACAAGGCATTGTGTTATATATATATATATATATATATATAATAATAATATTAGGCTTATTAGCAGGGTTGGGCGGCTAGGGTAGGCCAATTAGGTTAGGATTAGTTTATTAGGGTTTTGGGTTTACTTCCTATAAATATATACTTTGGGTTTACGTCAGAATCAGTCAAGAATAGTATTAAGCAAAGTATACTTCTAAACCTAATTCCTCTCAGCTCCTAATTTCTATTCTCTCCTAATCCAAGGCCTTGGCCGATTCCCAATTCTATCTCATCTAAATCCCTAATCTCAACCCTAAATCCCAATCTCACGGGTGCCGAAGATCAGTCCCTAGAATCCTAGAAGCGGGGTTCTTTCAGTGGTATTAGAGCCTGGTTGCAGGCACTCGTACTGAAACTATGTCAAGCTTCGAACTATGGATCGAATAAATTTACGACGGCTCAAAGAAAGGCTAGCCGAACTCAACAGAAGCAATTTTAGCACCGCCAAGCCTCTGGCCAGAGATGCGGTCGCCTTTTCCCCTAGGCTTGTGATGGCGCCGCCATCTCCATCATCAAGAGCCTCTTCCCTACCTGTCGAAGCCGCTGCCGAGATCCTCGAACAACCGCAGCCTATGGTGATCATCGTTGAGTCGCCGAGGAGGGAATCGCCGCGGATAAGACCGTTGATGCCCCTGAGGAAGGAGAAGATGCGCGGCGGCGGGATCCCCTCTCCACCGAAGAAGAAAACACCGCGGGGGAATCATGCGCCTCCAGAGAAGAAGGGCGGCGACTTCTCTCACTTTTGTGAAGCCACGGCTGGCGATACGACGAGGCGAGAGGCGGTGGGCGGCAAAGCGAGTCTGCCTTCCTGCAGCGTGAACATCCCGTTGCCGGAGACCGAGACGATGAGCACAGGGACGAACTTAACTCCCTGCCGCTTGACGATTCCGTCGCCGGAGAAGGAATGGAAGAAGAAGAAGAAGAAGCCGGGCAACGGCGTCTTCTGTCTCTGGAATCCTATGACCTCGGTTCTGGTTAAAGAGAAGCCGAAGGCGAGGTCGGCAACAAGCTTGCCTCCTCGCTGCGGGGATGGCTCTATCGCTGAAAAACAAGTTACAGGAGGAGGCAGATAAGAAGCCGAGACCAAGTCGTTCCCTGCCGGTCTGTCTGACGCCGAAGAAGAAGAAGAAGAAAAAGAAGAAGAAGAAGAAGAAGAAGAAGAAGAAGAAGAAGGAAGAGGTCGCGGTTGCTAAAGCATCGCCAGGGAATGAGGCGAGCGGCTGTCGCCGAAGAGGAAGTGGCCGACAAAGGAGCCTCGCGGCGACCGACGACGCAAAGCAGAGCTGAGCCGAGGGATTGGCTCGCCGACGGTGGGAGAGATGGATGGCTAGGGTAGGCCGATTAGGTTAGGATTAGTGGTTGGGCGGCTAGGGTAGGCCGATTAGGTTAGGATTAGTTTATTAGGGTTTTGGGTTTACATCCTATAAATATGTACTTTGGGTTTACGTCAGAATCCGTCAAGAATAGTTTTAAGCAAAGTATACTTCTAAACCTAATTCCTCTCAGCTCCTAATTTATATTCTCTCCTAATCCAAGGCCTTGGCCGATTCCCAATTCTATCTCATCTAAATCCCTAATCTCAACCCTAAATCCCAATCTCACGGGTGCCGAAGATCAGTCCCTAGAATCCTAGAAGCGAGGTTCTTTCACATTGTAGCTTATCCCCCCATCCACAACAAAGAAAGCATACATCTTCTCTTGACTACCAACTCCAACCATGACTGGTAGTATCCCTCTTGACGATGTTGATCCCCCATTGAAGCTAGTAATGAAGATCTCAGTAGGGATCAAATCACTTGTATTCTTCCCCAATTTTCTTAACAACCTAGTGGGCATCACATTGACAGCAACCCCATTGTCAACAAGAATTCTTGACATCGGCATGTCATCAAACCTAGCCTTGAAATAGAGGGGTCTCAAATGCCTTAGCGTACTTGGTTCTGGCTCCTTGAAACCCACTAAGTGACTTGACTCATTACTTGAGTTCTCCTCCTTCATGACCCCGTTTCCTTTCAACGTGGCTAGCTTCATGATGGCCTCTTCTTGTAGACTATCTTCCTTCTACATTGAGCTATCTATCTCATTATGAAAACCGGATCCCCAAGTGGGATTCTCGACGGTTAGAGAAGATGAAGCCTCAAGGTCCTAGTACAACACATAGAAAGGGTATAGACCGCCATCTTCACCTAGCAAGCCCACACTCTTGTGGCCAACCTCATGGAGTTCCGTTAAGAATTTTTGGGAACTCCTACCTTGTCTTGCCACCTCACTGGCTAGATCGATTCTACCTCCCAATCCAGCCATCCTAATACCCCATGGTTCATCACTTGCTTCAAAACGGGCAAATGCTTCAGCTAACTCAACAATAGATCCGTCTGCATCTTTGGCCTCTTCTACTTCATCTTCATCCACCACATACTTATCCCGATTTTCCTCATTGAATTGGAAGACCATAGTTAGTATGTAATTTGTTACCACCACTGGCGGTAAGCTTCCAAACTAGATTGTCAAAGGGGGTCCTTGGTCATCCCCTTCATCATCCTTGTTGCCTCTATCGAACTTAGGATTGGGATGCTCATCTTCCAACATGTATTCTCCAATGTAATCACCAATGTCAGCCTCATACCCATCATCTTCTTGAAAGCTAACTTCAAAACCTTTTCCCTTAGTATCATTTTGAACACATATTTGCCCTTATCCGTTACTCTCACCTAGAGCCCGGTAGCCATTGAGTTGTCCACCTCTATGCTAGCTTGAAGATTATCAGCTGGTTGTGATGGTCCCCCCATTTCACGAGTGGGTGTTGGGTATTGACCCCGACGTTCTTGAGCATTAATCATACTCCTGTGAAGGTTCAGTGAGAGCTCTAAAAACTAAGGATATGGCTAATTTGTAGAGAAAAAATAAAAGTTTGACATGGTCTGTCAAAAGGTTGGTTGTGGAACCCTTGCTTCGTCTTCGTTTCTCCTATTTATAGCTATTCCTTGTAACTACCTCTGGTAACCGCTGCCTCCTATGCTTGGTGCTTGGTGCTTCTTACTTGATATTTTAACCACCTTGCTTGCCTGCTTACCACTTGGTATCTTGATGGATTGATGACTTCACTTGGCAGATAGCCACCTTGTTTCGTGGAGGTATCTCGTTTGTCTTCATCTTGATGTTTGATGCCTTGGTGGTACTCATGCTGACCACCCTTGCAGGATGTCATGTTTGGCACCATGGTGCTTGGAGGGTTGACACTTAGAAACTTAATGACCTTGTCTACCAGGTACCATGCACGACTACGAGGTATAACATGTCTAACTACTTGGTATGAGGGTGCTTTGTGTCTACCACCTTGGCATGGTGTTATGCTTGGCACTCTAGTGCTTGATCCCCTTGATGGTTGGTACGTGGGTGGCTAAATGCTTGACTGCGAGGCTCTCCTTGCATGACATCATGTTTGACTCTCCTTGGATGATTTCATGCTTGACCCCCCTTGTGGTTGGGTCTCAACACTTAGCCAAATTTCGCATCAACCATGCCTACTTGGGTGCTTGACACTTGACGTGCTCAACCCCCCTTGTATGCTGTCGTGTTTGACAGGTGGCTGTTTTGTGGGTCAAAGGGTGTGTGTTGAGGTACCATGTATGAAGCCCAAAATATCATCATTTAGGCCCAGTTTAAACTAATTTAATTAATATGATTATATTGGCCTTATAAACAACTATCACTCCTTAAAAATAATCAATGTAGTATCAAGTGATTTTTTTAGTGATAAACAGTAACTAAATGCGCGCTCACGTCATCAATGATGCATGATCCAAACCCAATCTCTCACTGATGACCTATTTAGCCTGCAAAGTCCCAATCTTTTCATTGGGCTTTCTCTTCTCTTCTCTTCTCTTCTTCACCCACATTCCCACAATACTTGAATTCCACATACAATTCAATTCAAACAAAAACTCTTGTGTACGAAAGGAATATTGTTTATATTTTGGCCAAATACACTTGTATAGCCAAAACTTTGACAGTTTTGCCAAATATAGCCACGTTTGGCAAAATACCAAAAATAGCCATTTCTGTCCAATTGTTTGACGGTGTTAGTTAACATTCTGACTGGACTAACGGAAAGGCTGACGTGGCAAAATTTTTGTAAGTAACAATGCCACATGGGTTAACTTTAAAATATAAAAAATAAAATGAAAAGTAAAGTATCCCTCTCTCCCTCATTTTCTCCAATCCCTCTTCTCCGCTTGATCCCTCTTCCTACGATTCCATCTTCTCCCCCTTATCCCTCTTTCTTCGAAGGACAACACGTCCACCTCTCTTCTTCCACTTCCCTTCCCTAGCCGAAACTCTCTATTCTTCAAACTCTCTCGATTCTTCTATCACGGCTGGATTCTTGCCGGAGCTCTTCGCCCTCTCCTTCCACTCTCTCCGCCTCGCACTAATCACCCTCGCTGACACTGCTTTGTCCTCCCAAATCTCCACTCCACCGCCAAATTCTTAAACCCCCCAACCCAGATCTCCAACGCTTTTAACAAACCCATATTTTGGATGGGGATTCATTTAGGGAATTGATGGGCTCTGCGATGACCATGGATTTTCAGAAGGCGGCGACTACGAGTGTGATGGTTCGATTCACGGGCAAGACAGCTCGGAAATAGGAAGAGAAGCAGCGTCGGAGTTCACCAGCGATAACGATGAGTCTCTTTCCTCCTCTCGAAGACCGGGCGACGAATCCTTCTTTCTCCTTCATGTCGGGCTCGACGGCTAGGCTCGGCATTGAGTAGAATGGTGGATAGTGTTTGGGTTGGAATAAAGGTAGGCGATGGCTGAAATTCTGGCAGTGAAGGCAGGGGAGGGGAGTTCGATAGGGGAAGAGAGAGTTGGGAGCTTGGCAGCGGTGGCGAGGACTGACCGGCGGCATCTGCTGATTTTGATGGAGTTGAGAAGGAGGGTAGAGGGCAGATCGAGATGGAGGGGAATCTTTTGCGTGTTCTGACTATTTTACTGTGGATCTTTTTGCGTGTAAGGGGAATACCAGAGGAAAGTGAGGAGGAGGATCCGAGGGAGAGATCAACAATGGTGGCGTTGATGGAAGATCAGAGGTCACTTGATGAAGCCTTGAAAAGAATGATTTCAAATCTCTGGGTTTTTTAGTTTTCTGTTTTCTTAGCTGCAGGAGAAAGAAGAAATCGAAGGATGAGGAGTGTGGTAGATGGGAGAAGAAGATGGGTCTTGGAAGCAGATTAATGGTGATTGTCTGATTGACAATGGGAGGAAGGGTTGTGGGTTGCTGGAGGAGAAAGAAGAGGGTTCGAAGAGATTAGGCCATTAGGGATAGGGGGAATTTTTTATTTTTTTATTTTTGTAAATGATGTGTCGTGTGAGTGTTGCGTTGGAAATGAAAGAGAGGGTGAGTTGGCAGCCAAGTCAGCGTTCCGTTAATTTAACTAACGGTGTCACTGACGCCGTTAAATTATGTAACGGAAATGGCTATTATTGTCATCAAATTTTCAAAATTCTGGCTATTATTGGTATTTCCACAAAAGTGGCTATTATTGTCACAAACGTCAAAGTTTTGACTACACGGATAGATTTTGCCTTATATTTTCACCACCTTTTATTACAAATTCTAATATGGATGCTCGTGTATATCTCGGAATCGGATTCGACCTTACCAACGCCTAGGGCTGTTAATGAACCAAGCCGCTCATGAACGACTCGGCGTTCGACTCGAGAAAAACTCGTTCGAAACTCGATTCGTCTTAATCAAGCCGGCTCGCGAACAAGCTCGTTAACTAAACGAGCCGAACTCAAGCCATACCATGTTCAGCTCGAAAGCTCGCGAACAAGCTCATTTAACGTTTTGGCATAATAAAGGATTAGAATTCATGGATTTTATGTATTGAAATTGGGGGAAGTATTGTGTTTTATTTTTCTAGACTTTGCTATAGGTTTGAATGTAATTTTGTGCCAAGTTTTAGGTAAATCTTGAGCTATTATGAATATTTTATAAGCTAAACTCGATTTTGGGCTCGTTAACCTTATTTGACGAGCCGAGCTCAAACTTTCATTTTCATAAACG